TTCACGCCAATGCACTTGATCAGGACATTTCACAGCAGCTTCAAAAGTTAGTGGCTTGGATAAGTCCACTACTGTTTCGATAGCGTTCGCATTTGCACGCCAAAATACAGGCGAAGTCGATGCATCAGCATGCTTAGTTTCTTCCTCTTCTTCTTGGTGGGCCGTGTAGTTATCTGGAGCACTCGATTCTTCTAGTCCAGGCCGTTGACGCACTGTGCGCGTTGGAGGAGCTGGTACTTCTTCATCATTTGGACGAATCTTGCGCTTGCCTGAATGCTTGTATTGCGCTTGACCCGGCGCTTCATCATCCAGCTCGAGGGAGTCGAAGTCGATGTCATCGGCATCTTCATCGGTGGTTGGCAGCGAAAGGCCAAAGGTGGAGTCATCAAAGTTGACATCGCAACTGATGACCACCTGACCCGCCTCGATGTCATAAACGCGATGCGCTTTGGGTGCTTCTTTGTAGCCCAAGAATCCCAGTGCGAGCCTTTCTATTCCACTTCAGCCGCTTTTCCTTCGGTGTCAGTATGTAAACCTGACAACCGAACACCCACATGCGCTTGACACTTGGCTTGGAGTTCTTAATGATCTCGTACGGAGTCTTGTGCACAACCTTAGGCTACGACAGACGGTTCTTGACGTAGATTGCCGTCATTGCTGCTTCGGTACAGAAGCACTTTTCGGCTTAGCATGGTGGAGCATGCTGCGACCAATTGTGACGATGGTCCGAATGGCGCGCTCCGCCATGCCGTTGATCTGGTGTGCATATGGCACTGTCGTCTGCTGCTCAATGCCTTTGTCTTCGTAGAATTCTTAAAACGAATCGGTTGCAAACTCGCGGGCTCCGTCGTGTCGGACGAACTTGACTTTCTTGCCAAACGGCGCCAGTACCATCTTGATGTATCGTGTGATGTAATTTTCACTCTCCGACTTCACAGGTTGACAGAGGCCCTTCATGCGTCCACTGGCTTCGTCCACTATCAGCAGTAGATACTTGATGCCACCCAGAGAATTTATCTCCACGGGTTCGCAGATGTAGACGTGAAGTAGCTCAAAGGAATCGTATCTGCGCTTGTCTTGGTTGCGTGGAAATGTTTTTGGACCATTTTTTCTTCTTGGCATCCTCAACATGCGCTTGATCCACTTGACTTGAGAGGTACCTTCACATCCTTGATCATGTTCGTGGCCACCATCTTGCGAAGCACATCAGCTGGAGAGTGTCACATCCGCGCATGTAAGTCGACACCGTTGTTTCCGCTTGTTCTCGCATTGGCCGATCGATGAGCTGTGTGAAGCCAGTAAAGACCATCCACAAGATCTGCTGTTGCCACCACTTGTTGCGATCCTTCGCGAGCGACAAACATCTTGGTCCCGTCGAACACCACTTGAATCTTGCCGTGCTTGTTGATCTGCGGTATCGAAAGCAGATTCTTGCTCATGCTTGGTACGTAAATCACGTTCTTGATATAGATTTCGCGCTCTTCACCGTCGGGTAGAACCAACTTTTCAAAGATAGTTCCAATACCCTTGATGACCACTTTGTTGCCATCCGGCACCAAGATTTCACCGTCTTTGCGCTAGTTTAGTCTTGCAAACTTGGTCTTGTCGTGGCTTATGTGGTGCGTTGCACCATTGTCGACGGCTCACATTCCGGACACTATCTTCTTCGCTGAGAGTCCACACTCCAACGAATCTGCAAACGCTACTTGATCGTAGTCGCTGTCTTCATCACGATATTCTCCCCACTGGACATTGTTCGCCCGCGTCCACCGCCATAGCCGCCGCGTCGGGTTCCTCTTTTTCAGTATTCCGCTTGGTCCAAAAGAGATCCACGGTGTGTCCCACCTTCCCACAGTAGGTGCACTTGTATGGTCCGCGTTCAGTGTTGAAGGCCTTGGCTGCATCTTCAGTCTTGACCATCGTCGCTGTTGTCTTCACCTTCTCCCTTTGGTGCTTGGCGTGCTTATTCGTGAGAACTTTCACCACATCTTGGGTACGAAGCTATGTGCTGCTCATCCCCAAGTTCAGAACAACGTTCTCAAAACTCTTAGGGAGACTGAGCAGCAGGCAAATTGCGACGTCCTCGTCCTCCATCTTCGCACCGATGCTGCTAAGCTTGGTGGTGATGTTCACGACCTCGTTGCAGTGATGTATGACATTGGCGCCTTCATACATCTTCATGCTGAAGAGTGGCCGCTTGAGGTAGATCCTTCCAGCTTTCTGAGATCCACCGTACAGTACCTTCATGCGTTGCCACGCAACCCACGCTTCCTCGCACTTGTCGACCACATGGTAACAATCCGCACCCATGTGCAGCAACATCATTCCAAACGCGGTATTGCTGTTCTTGACGTAGTCGTCCTGCTCCCGAGGGTCCACGACCGTCGGGGAGCTCTCCAGTTGACATCATGCCACATCGACTTTGTCAGGAACACGCCACGCATGTATCGACTCCAAGTCGAATAGTTGTCCCCATCGAACTTATTGATGAAGACGTTGAAGGATGCGTGGCTGGCAGAAGACATTGCGTTTGGCTCATAACCTGTTGACGCTATGGCACGGGCGTGACGAGAAGACCGAAAGAGACCGGAGGGAGCGAAGAGGCTTGAGGAGCGGAGCATAAAACACTTGCTCGGCAGAAGGAGGATTCAAAAGTGATTGATTCATTGGTCTTAACTCTGCCTACCCTAGACTGCATCCAATCATATGGTGCGTCTAATCAACCTAATTTACACGCGTCCAATCATCCTACACGTCTAATCATCTCTGAGGTAATTACCGACGTGAAAACTATTCCGTCAAAAACTAGACTCTAAGGCTGGATTGTATCGGTAACCCTCAACACATTGCCGTATGATACCTTTATTGGTAGCAGTTTGCATAACTTTGCTTAGTAATCGGGATATATTGTTGAGCACCATTATCTGAGATGGTATTTACATTGACTCAGCTTGGTGTCAATGACATTGTAACGGGCTCACCCCGTCAAAATATGCACCACTCTTTGTATTGGGTATAATATTTATCTTCATCAAATAGGCGCGAAAATGGGTTTCAGCCCGTTACACAAACAGCTCTGAATGAAAACGAAGACGTGATCGCTTAAGGAAGAGACTCTGTCGCTAGACACTTCGCGGGTCGAAACCATATCGGGTGGTTCAGCTGGAAGCGAACAATTGAATCAGGCACACAATACTTATTAAGTTTGGATAAACAAACCGATCCGTGAAGTCCACTAGACATGTCGCCTATATCCTTTATCGTCTAGAATGCATGTGCTTGTAGATTTACAGCGATGTGCTTGTGGGTGAACAGCGATCACGCTTCCAGAATCATCACATATTTCTGATGGTAGCAAATACAGATCGCTGTACACCTACAATATACCAATCGACACTCACTACTAGCACCTGCAGCAGCCAGTCGATCGATTGGGAAATTCCGTGATGATCACTGATCTGCAAATTGGAGCTTATGTTTTATGGCACTTATGAGCCACACACGGCACACACGGATGGGAATTGCGATGCTCATTACAGTCGTCTGATAACGTGTAATTCCCGTTACGATTGTGTGACCGTCGCATCACAATCCGCGTGTCAACGTTGAGTCGACACCCGGCTCGAGATTGTTTGAATGTCGCCCAGATAGTCAAGTGTATTTCGGTGCATTGTCGAATCAACTAGGCAAGTGTCAATATTGCACGCGATGGTAAGAAGATCGCGATGCGCCCAACGACATTGACTAGCGTATCAGAACTAACAAAGTGTCATGTGGAATTGCATGACGATTGAAGCATCACGATGATTGTGGAGAAGATACAGCTACGCGAATATTGTTAGCCACCACATACAACAAACAAATTGCCGAGAAGTCAATCTAGTTGGCTGATACGTAGGGATGATGTCCTCAAGGTCTGTTTGGCAAGATTCAGCCAAGGCGGTGCCTTTCATTAGACATTCGCAACCATTCCTGTCGGGACCTCGCCTGAGCCGGCCTCGAACTATAGGGTGAAAGTCGGTGGCATGCATTTTTACGCGTCAACGTGCACACCCTCCTATTAGAAGAATCCTCGTGTCTTTGACTGAAGTGTACCCGCTTTCACCGACTTGTCGACTAGCGTTCCTCGTCGAAATGTTGCACGTTCTGTCTCTTGAATTTGAAGACTAGCATATCTAGATTCCCAACCCCATTTTTATAAACATTCGTCCAGCGAACGAGGAAGTTGACCCCTTTCCTCCCTCAATAGATTTGCAAAAGTCTACCGACCAACACCTTGCCTGTCCGAGTATGTTTAGTCAGCTGTTTGCTTGATGAGCTGCTCGACTCTCTCGGCGCTTGGGTTTTTGGTCCGTCGACTCGTCCAGTAAAGATTCACATATCTTGACTACACACGGCGTTCTGATAGTATGCATCCCAATCTCGTGTTCCCCGACACACGACGTCTAAATCATCAGGCAACGCGCAATCATCTCGATAAAGATAGCGCTTTCGCTGAATCGAAGCTTGCCGACAGGAATACCGTACGAATGTGTTCATCAGTTGCACGTAAAACGTAGCCTTGGCGCCATGATACATGTATCGCTACGCATGTCGGCAAATTCTATGAAGGACGTGATACCGATAACGAGGTTGGAGGAACGTAAACTTTTGCTAAATTGAAGACAGCACAAGCGACAGCAGCGAGAGCAATGGATAAGACGTAATTCGTTGAATAACCAGGTGATGAGCGCAGAGCGTGGAGCATCGTCAGGTTTGACGGGTTCATGCAGGCGTGAGTTGGGATGAACCCGGCTCGCAGGAAAGATCATCGAACTTCCAGCTGGGATGGCGCGAACTGAAAGAAGTCGGAGGTGCCGTGACGAAGGTTTCATGTACACCAGGATATATCTCTACTGACTTCGCTACTCGTCAGTGTTGCAACGATCACGTCACACTAGAGCAAAGATGTTACCTCACAGCTTCAACCAACTTTATTGCACGGTATATTCATAATCATCTTACTTCATCAGCTCTTGCTCCAACTCAAGGTCTCGAACTGTCAGAGTGTACTTGGGTTTCTTCTTGGCACCTTTTGTCACAGACGCCTCGTCACAATCGCTGCTTTCATTTACTTTCGTCGCAGTCGTCCCGTCACAATCGCTGCCATCCTTTGTTACTGCTTCCGTAGACACCTTCCTTATCATCTCCTCGACCATAGCAGGGGTGGCTTTACAGGGAACGACCTGTCCGCATACTTGCAGTATCGCGTGTCCCTGGCGAAGCAACCCAGTGCTCTCTGCTGGACCCGGGCTGGAGACAAATGCGCGAACATAAACTGCCTCGTCCTTCCAATTGCCGAACGAAATACCCAGGGGCGCCTTCGGGAAGACGATCTCCATTGTCGGGGTCGTCGACAGAACGTCGACCGCGTCGTTACCCACTGTTGGATCAATGTCACTAACATCGACTACTTTTCGATCCTCACTGTTTTCCGCAGACTCTCCGTTCTTTTGGCTGTCGTAATTGTCTTGGTCCTTGTCGTTGCTGTCTGAAAAATGTCGGCGCTGGAGCTCGTTTCGAATCGCAGCGAAGTATTCCCGCTTTACAAACTTGACCCGGATAGGCTCCTGCTGGCTCGTGATAACGCGCAAGGCTCGCATAATGTCGGCATAGCTCGGGTAGTCTGGGCCTGTCAGTAAAACATCGTTGGCATACAGCAGTATATCACCTTTCTGTACCACATGAGTGCGCTGCGCGAAGGAAGGGATACGTGCGAAGGCTGACACCACAACGTGCTGTCTGCTGCTGGACGACATGTCGTCTTCACACGTGAGAGAAGATGCATCCTCGATCTCTATCATAGGGGGCCAGTCACGCAGCTGGATGATTGCGTCAGGACTCGTAGCGAATTGCATTGTTGCAGGACGTGATTTGAGATCGCGGAGAATGGCCAGCACTTCGGGAAGCGTCTTGCTGCGTAAATCGACATTGTTCACTTTTGTCAAAAGCTGACCAACCCGGATCTTGCCACTAAGTTCTGCTGGACACTTTTTGCCATCGGGTTGTGTTGCAGCAAAGCCAACAACTATAGCGCCGCTTGCAGCTAGTGGACGAGCTCGCAGACGTAGTCCAAAGGGTCCCTCACACCGGAATGTGAACACGGTAAACTCGGGTTGTGCTCTCATCTGTCGACATCGATTCTTGGCAGTATCTTCGGGGAGCAGCGAAAACCGCATCGTGAAAGGAACACGAAGTGTTTCCAACAGCTCGCCCAGTTCCTCAACAGTCAACTCCCTGCAACACAGACCATTGATCGCCAGTACGCTACTTCCCACGAGCACGCGTTTCACGTCCTGGGCCAAAGCCTTATCATGGCTCGTGTCGGATTCCTTGCCATTCGTGACTGGCACTTCAACATCCAGGACGTTTGACACAACCACGAATTTGTTCAACACACCCTTCGTGAAGCGGAAAGGCACGGTGTTTCGTTTCGTGAAAGTGCATTCAATCATTTGTGGCTGCAAGTCGACCTCCTTCGCGCCACGCCACGGGCTCGCAGTTGGCAAATCGTCCATGCGAATGTCCAGCAACTGAAAGATCAGGGGCCAGTAGTCATCCATTTGCTTGTTCAATATACCCAGCAACTTGATCGTGTGCTTCAACAGCTTCGTTTCCATTGTCTTTGCCAGATACTCACGGATCAACTCGGCAAAGACAGATGCCAATATGTTATAGATCGCGCTGAACCAGCTTCCTTGTACGGTGAGCTTTAGTTCCTGGCTGATTTCAATTCTCATCGAATTGAGCACCAGTATCGGCTTGAACTCTCCCGTCTCTTCGTTCGAAGCTTTCTTTTCGGCCTTGAAACCTAGACAGATCACACCGCCGCTTAGAGCAGCATCCGCTACGCCGCCACCGTGTAAGTAAGGAAAGCACTTTTGCTGAAAAGTCCAGTCAAAGCCCTTGAGGAGTGCCGTCAAGTGTGTTGCACGAACCGTGAACAGCTCTTCGTCAACGACTGTCCCCATCCGCACTTTCGTCCGCTCCTTCTTCACACGAAAGTTCGACAAATCCAAATTGGAGATGGAGTACGCAATGTCGTCTTCCACGCCTGATATCGTGTCAATTTTCAGCGTCGGCAAAACAGACGTGAAGAAATCCAAACAGTGATCTTTGATCTGGTCCACAAATTCCTGTCGCTTCTTGTGATCCGTTGTCATCGTGCTTCTCCACTCTGCCAGCTTGTCCAACTTGACTTCGCTGATGGCCTTCGTCACATTGTTGCAAAACTCATCCGGGTTTTCAACTGACTGAACCAAAGCTTTCGCTTTTTTCATTAGTGTCTGTCCATGCGATGTTTGCTGCATCTGCATCCAATACTTTTCTGATGCCTGAACCAGACCTTCGGCCTTAGACGACAGTGTAGGCAACAGCACCTCAGCTTTTTGCGCCAACACCACTGGATCCAGCTCGGTCATTGAGTTCACACCTAGCCTTTTGCTTGCCATTTGCTCAATGCAAGCAAATGCCTCCTGAGCCTTCATTACGTCGCTTTCGTGTTGCTGCATTATCGACAACACTTTTGACTGCAGTGTACGATGCTCCAAGGACGCGGTCAATGCGTTCAATCGAGGCTTTTCCGCATTCATTTTGCTTTCGACAACTTGCAAAATCTGCGATACAACGAGCCTATTCTCCTCCTGTGCGGACGTCAGGAGCAGCGAGTTACGCTCCTGCGACACGAGCCTCTGCCGGGCGGATACAAGTTCTGAACTAGCCTTCTTACAAAGACTTGAGTGAAGATGCTTGACCTCCTCGCTGTGCCGCAACTGGCTTAACACGTTCAACGCTTTCGCAAAGATCGCCGCAGAGTCCTTACCTTCAAGCAGGTCACTCTCCAGCACGGTCTTAGCATAAGCTGCCATATCCTTCAAACGCTCCAGCTCTTTCTCACTCGCGTCCTGCAGGCGCTTCGTAGAGTCTGTCAAGCTCGGGTCAAGCAATAAGGACAACGACTTGACGTACTGGTCACCGTAGCTTGCGTTCGTGGTAACAAACGATATAGCCTCAGCATTTTGCTCACAAAATTGCTGCAGCTGTTGGTACGCTTCCTTTGCTTTGCAGCTCAGCAGAACAGCATCGTCACGCGTGATTTTTCCTTGGAACTCTTCGAAGATTCTCTCTGCCGACAGAGGCTTGGGCACTTTTGCCAGAAGCCGCAAATCAATGCACAAAACATCCTTTGCTTGCAAATGACCGACGCCTCCATAGTCCAGCTGCACCACGTACGAATCATTTATGACCCTGTAGTCTGTGATGCTTCCCAAGCCAAAGCTCGTCCGGACGCGTGTTCCTTTTGCCACACGAAGCTCATCTTTCTATCAAACAGCAACAAAACTCACTCAGCTTCAATGAAAAAGACAGAAAGACAGAGTTGCAAAGGAAAGGCGGCGTGCAGACTTACCGACAGCAGCTTGGTACGCTTCTCCGTCGCAATGTGACCGTGGTCCTCGCTAGTGACAGTCCCGTCGTCCTGAACGAGTACTTGATACATTTGGTCTGCATAACTGTACACACAAAGAGCAGCATCAACAATGAGCGAATGGCAACGCACCCACTCTGCCCATTACTTCCATCACGACCACAAACGCACATATAGTTCAACACGGTGCCCTCTTTCCCCTCTTGCTGCAACAGGAGCACTCTCGTGTCTCTCGGGATCTCCCCATACTGCAACATGCGTTGCTCTGGCACCAAACACCCTCTCTGTATCCAAACCCAGTATCTCTCAGCATATGCGAGCAGTGTGCACAGTAGTAAATCCCACCTAGCGCAGTGTCGCGTACCCTCGCGTACAGCACAGCGCCACTTGCCAGCACCACCTCCACATGTGTCTTGCAATCGCTGCTCGAACGCACAGTCCCACGACCGAACGGCGTCTTGACGCTGTCTCCAGACTGATAGCGCATTGCCATCGCGAAGAGCGGCGGCATCTCTCGAGGCCCCATCTGTGTCTGCTGCACTGTCAATAACCGCTGACTTTCTCGCAATGGCGTCCGGATCAGCCAACCAGAACGCGCCTCTCTATTGTGTTTACGACCGGAGCCGGTGGACCCCTTCCCGCACTTTGATTGGCTCTGCAGATGTTCGTTAGTGTTACTTCAACCTATCGCTTAAGAAACGCGTCCAGCGGACCCCTTTTCTGGCTGCGTCGATCGTCGCCAGAACTTGCTACGACGACGACGTCACGACGCTGTGCCTGGCTGAGCGTCAGTGCAAAGTGAAAGTCGGCGTGCTCGCTCTGCGGCTCCTGCACCAAGCGCTGGCACGAGGCACAAAAGTGACCAGAAGACGATGATGACGACGACGACGACAATGATGACGCCGCAGGTTGGGCTGGAACGCATGTTGAAGTCGCTGCGGTTAGAAACGTCGAGTGGGCCACTCCAGTTTCGGTCCGACTCGGCTCGGAGACGCGCGCAAAAAAGCCGGATATTTTCTGTCGCCGGCTCTTTCGCACCGACAAGTCGCCTGGTCGACCGCGTTTCGCTGCGAATGCCTTCACTTCGTCTTCGACACGTTGAGCGACGGCCGATACAGCCGACGTGTCGTCTTCCTGACGCGTGAAGAAGCTGGAGATGCTCGTCACCGCTTGAGAGCCCAAGTCCGTGAAGTTCTTGGCGTGCATGCTCAGAGCTGCCAATGGGAACATACCGTCCAAGTGGAGCCGCATGACGTTCATCGCGGCCGCAGAGAGCTCGTCGACCGTCGTGTCCTGCGCGATCCCGAGCTTCCTTGTGTGCGGCTTGTCCTCTACTTTCGTGTACTGGATCGTCAGCTGCGACGGAAAGCGCTTGTTCTCAATGCGCTCGTCCTCGCAGCGCATGACCATCTCCTCGCACAGCAGATGCACCCAGTACTCGAGCTGTGCTACACGCACTAGGGCCGATCCAGAGCGCTGGTCGAATTGCTTGACGCAGCTGAGCATTTTCACTTGGACCTTTTTCTCTTCGACTGGTTCGTCACCATCGTCGCCCCGACAGATCTGATGCACGTACGCAGCAGTGTCTTGACCCACGTGCTGGCTCAGCTCTGCCAGTCCGCAACGCTGGAGAAGGGCGTGCGCTGTTAGCTTCATTTGTTCTTGGTCTGCAGGCTTTTGTTCGAGCTCCAGCGTGCCGGCTGCCACGGGCCGTAGGCTTTCATAGATACTCTCGAGCTGCCTCCCGAGCTTGCCGCCAAGTCCGCGGATCTTCCGCATTGGCAGCGTCTTCATGAGGTCAGCAACAAAGCGAGGCGCTACCACGACTTGCCCATTAGGCTTGTTGAGTGGAGAGGCCAACTTGGCCAATAGTTTGTTGCATGCGATGCCTGTTGAACACGTGTAGCCAAGTTTGCGGTAGACCACCTCGCGGATCTCGCGAGAGATCACTGCACCCATGCACAGCAGCCGCTCGCAATCGGTCAGCGGAAACGCCCGCACAGCGCCGTCTTCGTCACCTGCATTCGTGTCTCTTTCTTTCTTGCAAAACACAACCGTGTCGCGGTTGGCAGGGTCCTGGCAGAAAGCTGACGAATACGCCGTCTTACGCCAGTGTACAGGTACCATGAGACATAAGGTCGTAGCTTCATATGCCCACACACACACACTCGTGACATGGCACTCAACGCACCGTCTGTGCGAGTCTCGCCTTGGCCATGTCGGTGACGTCCATGAACGCCTCGTCAATGCTCGCCTTCTCGACCACAGGTACCATGGAGCTTAAGACGGCAAAGATCTCGCGACTTGCAACGCGGTATCTCCGTAGGATAGCCTTCTGGTGTGTCCGATCATACAGCTGCCCTGGTGTCCGGTTCTCGCCCAGCGTGTCAACATGCGGCTACCAGCAGCAGCTATCAGAGATACACCGACCGAGTGGACCCCTCAACGTAAAAGCTAACAGCGACAACGACCGCAACACATACCAAGTGGATCTGTGGACACTTCTTCTTTGCTTCGTCGGCAAAGTCACCTGTACAAATTCAACAGTATGTCCCACCACAACGGGAAACGACGCACACAAATGAGACTGCTGCTTCCCTCCTCGCAGCAGGTTACATAGCAGTCGTGCGGTAGTAACGCACCTCGCACAACGCCGAACTTGCGGGCGTCGTAGTTGACAGCGAGCAGACTGCCCCACTGCTGCACGGCAATGGGCTGCCCGTCTGGAATCTTGAGGCGCCGCTGCTCCACCTGCGCGTAGAAGCAGTCGAGGTCCAAGTGGACGATCACACGCGGCGGCGGTCGAGCCGTCGTCTCGGTCATGACCGTGTGCTGAATTGGGGACGGCGTGTGGTCCACACCCAATGGATACACTGCCCGACAACGGTTCAGTAACTGTTCAGAAGCCATCGCGACAGACTCGATCCGATCAGTGAGCAGATGGCCGCGAGCATCGCAGTTTACGGGGCGCGCGAGAAAACGCGGAAGCAGACACGTGAGCGAAGTAGTGCAGTGGACACGGAACGCGGTGGACGGATATGTGAGTCACGCGATGTGGGGAGTAGGGGGTCGGGGTGAGGTCGTGAATTCGACCGGCCATCGCTTTTTCCTCGCGTTGGCTCACGCACACACTGTGTGTGTGTGCGATTTTGCCAATCGTAGATTCCGTGTCGCGGGAGTTGCCGAGCGAAGTGGCTCCATCGGGTCTGCCGTCGAGTCGCTTTGTCATGTGGGGTGGGGATGCCCGCAAGCTTTGATGGCGATCGCCGGACTCAAGTGGCCATGCAGAAAAGGGTCTGAAGCGTTCAGAAAGCGTCGACGAAAACTTGATCCGATCAGTGGAACAGATATATGAGAGAGCATTGTGTCTCGGTCCGCTCGCTGATAAAGATGGGGAGGGGAGGGGGGAGCAGGACATTGAAGCAGTGACCTGTTTTTGGCACAAAATATCTCATGAGCCGTTCACTTCTTCTTCGATGCTCATCCACACTGCTCTCTCCTCGTCTCCAATACGCTGTTTCGCCTGCACCAGTCATCCGGATCCCGACAATGCGGCGTTTGGCCGTCGAAGATTAACGGGGGGGGGGGGCAGACTTCACGATGCGGACGAGAGCTTACCCTCGAGGCCATCTTGCCACCATTAGCAAGGGACGAGCTCAGCGATATCCTCTGCTCGCATGTCGGGCCGAGCTGCGTGGCTGACCTCGGGCCGCCATATCGAACTGCATGACATTTGGTGCGCTAGCTGCCGCGTGACACTGCCCGATTGTTACACGGACTGGTAGATCGATGGACTACGCAACGAGACTGGCTCGGCTTGCCCGAAGATTCAACCCGTGTGCTCCCGACGGAGGCCAGTTGAATCCACTAGTTGTCAGAGCTGAATCACGCACGGCCTATCATGCACTCGGACCGTCTCGCTCGAGCCACTCCGTCTCTCAGCTTATCCTCGACATGTAGGGACTCAGAAGCAATGGCTCCATTCCTGCACGAGGGATCCACCACGTGGCCTTTGTTAGTCGAGCAGCACCAGCGAAAGAGGTGGCACGTGTCCCGCCGCCACTTTGTAGCACTGTGGCCGTTCGTTCCGACGAGGTCACACGCGACCGACTGCCCGACCGATCGGTCCTCCGCTTCGAGCGCGTAGCTGCTCCTCTGCTTGGCAGGCCGAGCTGCAAGAAGGGCCAGGTGTAGGGACGCAGGCCCATCCGACCAGGAGCTACAACTCGCTCGGAACTGGTCGGGGTCAAGCTCTTGTGCTGCCAGCTGAACTTGGTGCTTCGCGTCGCAACAGGTTGTCACGGCGCCAGAGGCCGTCCGCTGCACCCGAACGCGGGACGAAGACCAGCCACGCACCGCTCGCGTCAAGTGCCAACCCGCTTGTGAGTGAGTGCGTGTGTGTGTGTGCCTCTCTCTCTCTCTCTCGGGCAGCATCCGCGGCGCGGTCTCAGCGTGGCATTAGGGATCCAGACATAGACGCGTCCCCGCGACGTCGCAGGCGCAGTGTCTGCTGCTGCTGCTGCAGCTCCTTTTCCAGTCCCTTCTGGTCGCTCTTCCTCCACAGGACGTCCGGCAGTCAGCTCGTCCGTCTTTGCGCCCCCCCCCACTTGTCCAGTGCCTCTTTCCTCCTCCTCGTCCGTGTCTCCAAACAACAACAACAACAACAACAACGACATCAACAACAAAGCACCGCTGCCGTCTCCTGCCGTCTCCTCCTACTTTGCAATCCACCGCCAATCGCGCAGGCGTTCGGCAGCGTTCGCTTCGTCACTCACTCACTCACTTGCACTCCCTTTGCCCCATGACGTCCGTCTGGACCTCCGCGTCGCTCTTCCTCCTGCTCGTGCTGCTGCTGCTGCCTTCGCGCGCCGCTCGTGTCCACCCACAACCCCCTTCGTCGGACCCCCCGACGGCCCACCGACGCTCCCCGTGGACACTCGCGGACAATGCCACGGCGCTCGCCGCGCTCGAGGCGCAGCTCACGACGTGCACGTACTCGAAAGCGCACGAGTGCATCAAAGACCCAAAGCGCGTGCCGCAGCTCGGGGCGCTCGTGCGCGCGCCGGGCCACTGCGTGGCCTTCGACTCGGCCTACGTCGACGTCACGACGCCCAGCGCAGCATTGCCGAACCGGTACTACCCGACGTCGGTCGAGGCCGCGCACGCCGCCGGCTTTGCCAACAAATTCTCCGACTGGTCGGCCGTCAACCGCGAGCACTTCCAAGTGGACTGTCCGCTGCTGTACAACGAAGTCATTGGCCGCGACAGCGACATGCTGTGCTGCACCGAAGAGCAGTACACGGGGCTGTCGACGCAGGTCCGCATGATCCCCGGCCTGTGCTCGGCCTGCAAAGAGAACCTGCGCAACATCTTTTGCCAGTTCACCTGCAGTCCAAACAACAGCCTCTTCCTCGACGTGAGCGAAGTGCGGCTCATGAGCGGCGACGTCGACCACCCAACTGCGGTCTTCCCGGCCGTGGAACAGGCGACGTACTACGTGGGGACCGACTGGATCCGCGACATCTACGACTTCTGCGCCGACGACAGCTCGTTCTCGCTACTGTGCAACCCGAATCAGAACTGCAGCGACGGCTTTGGCCTCATGGAGTACATGGGCAAGTATGCGTTCAACAGCATCGGCTCACCGCTCCAGATCAACGTGACGACGATGGATCGACAGCCACCGTCGACGCAGGCGGCCGCGTTCTGCCACTGCGACCGCGCGAACGCCACCGACTGCATCCTGCCCATGAACAACCGCATGACGTCGTGCGTCGGCGTCTGCGGGTCGCTTTGTGCCGTGGACGCCACGGACGAGCGGCCGTACACGGAGTCGTGTTTTGGAGCTGTAGGTGCGTTTGCCGCGACGCCGTCCGACAGCATCAGCGGTGACACGGCCGACGATGTGATTTGGGCAGACCTGAACGCGTACCTGGCGACGAACATCCCAGCGACGGACTGGGTGCCGCTCAACTACTTCCTCGTGATCTGCGGCGCTGTGACCGCCTCGTTCCTCACCGTGGGGTTCGTTGTCGCCTGCTGCCGCGAGCGGCGACTGCGCGTCGCGAATCCACACAATAGGACGTCCCGTGTCGGGATGTACACGCCGGAATCGCTCGGCATGGCGTACGTCATGGAGACGGGTACCACGCGCCTCAGCTACGTGGACGAGCTCATGACAAACAAGTTGCGCACGTGGGCCGTGTTTGTCTCGACGGGGAACCAGCCGAAGAAGATCATTGGCCTCGTGCTTTGCGTCGTGGCTGTCTGCGCGGCCGGTCTGTACAACATTGAGATCGAGACGGACCCGATCAAGCTGTGGGTGTCCACTTCCAGTACTTCGTATCAGCAGCGCCTGCACTATGGTGAACTGTTCAACCCCTTCTATCGCTCGGAGCAGGTCATCTTGGTGCCCAAGGACGGTGGTGTTATCTATCGCTCTGCAGTCCTGAAAGAAGCCATCCGCGTGCAGAACGTGGCTGCTAATGTGACTTATACTTCCGACGACGGCGAGACCACGACCGCGCTTGGCGACATTTGCTGGAAAGCCACGGGCACTGGGTGCACTGTCAACTCGATCACGCAGTACTTCCAGAACAGCATGGAACACTTTGAATTCTACGAGAAGTATGGCCTGGAGATGGAGCACTTTAGCAACTGTTTGTACTCGCCGACAACATCGGACGTGGCGCTTTGTACGAAGCTGAAGAGCAGCTTGGAAGAGGGTGACTCGGTTCCCGCAACAATGGGCGACTGTCCTTGCTTGTCGACTTTCGGGTCGCCCATGAACCTGTACAACACGTACCTCGGTGGATTCCCCGATGGTGCTGAAAGCAATTACACGCTGTTTCTGGAGTCCGTGGCATTTGTTTCTTCGTACCTGAATTACAACTATGCAGATGAAGACTTGAACAAGCCTGCCATCAACTGGGAACGGGAGTACATCAAGACAATGAAGCTCGAGGCTAAGACCAACACCGTGTTCGATGTCTTCTTCTACGCCGAGATCTCCGTCCAAGATGAAGTAGATGCGGAATCGAGCAACGGCATGGGTCCCGTGGCACTGAGCTACTGTCTCATGATCATCTACATCTCGCTTGGTATCAATCGCATCAGGTTCAGTCGTCAATTCTTTATCTCATCGAAAATTGTAGCTGGCTTATGCGGCGTGGTAAGCATCGTGTGCGGCGTGACGACGACTATCGGCATCTACGTCTGGTTCGGCGTCAAGCTTCAGCTGATCATCATGGAAGTGATTCCTTTCCTGTCGCTGGCGATTGGTGTTGACAATATCTTCCTGCTGATTCACGCCATGACCGAGAAAGAAGACCAGCTTCGACGTGACCAACCGAGTCTCTTCATTGGTCTCGAGCACAATCCGAAAGCGGTCGAAGAGCTCACTTCCGTACTGGTGTCCGAGGGCCTCGCCCGCATTGGCCCCAGTATTTTCATGGCGTCCGCTGCCGAATCCGTGGCGTTCGCATTTGGCTCGATCTCAGCAATGCCTGTGGTGTTGTGGTTCGCAGCGATGGCAAGTTGCGCCGTGGTGATTAATTTCTGTTTCCAGCTAACCCTGTTCTTGTCGGTTCTGACGTTGGACAAGCGCCGCGAGCTGAGTGGAAAGTATGACATCACTTTTCGGCGCACGTCGCAAGCAACGTTTCAAGCGCCTGCTGCTGACTTGCAGACTCGGCAAACAGCAGACCCGCTCGTGGTACCGGAACCCAAGCCTCCTGCATCAGTCGATAGCCGCCGTTCTGCGATACCAGAGACTCGCACACTGACGGATACTCTCGAGCACTGCGTTGATGTCTACGCGTCAATCCTGACCTACAAGATCGTAAAGCTGTTTGTTCTGCTGTCTTTCCTGGCATGGACGCTCTGGTCCATTTACTCGATGGAATCGCTCGAACAGGGTCTGCCACAGAAGGAGGCAATGCCATCCGATTCGTACATGATCGAGTACTTCGATGCGCTTGACACGTACCTCGAAACCGGCGTGCCGGTGTACTTCATCGTCGAAGCAGGCTACGGCCGTAACCCAGATCGATGGTCTCTGAACGATGAGAGTGTGGAGACGGTGTTCTGCAAGTCAAAGGATATATGTGGTACCTACTCGGTTCCGAACGTCATGAACGCTCTGGCTAACCACGGCGATAAGAGCGTCACTCACATCAGTCCCGGCACGACATACTCTTGGATGGACGACTTCTGGGGCTTTGTCAATCCGGACAGCGAGTGTTGCCGCGTGGACTCGACAGGCGCTTACGTTCCAATCGAAACTGGCAACGACGCGTACACGACGCTGCGTTCCGCTGATGACACTTGTCTGGCTACGTCGGTGAGTGTCCCTCCTGTACCGGAGGCTCAGTACATGTCGCTCTTCAGTATGTTCGCAACAGCTAGCGCCGGCACGTCGTGCTCCTATGGTGGCGGCTCCATTTATCGCGGCCAGTTCAGCATCGATGACAAGCCCATTCCAACGGTGAAGAACTCGACACCAGCAGTGAAGCTCAATAGCAGTGGCTACGGTGACGAGATCACAGCGTGGTCGTACATGGTGGTAGGCACGTCGAATCCGACGCAGCAGCACTACATTGACTCGTACAAGCAGAACCTGGCAGCGGCCGATTGGATCAGCGAGAAGACTGGTGTCGATATCTGGGTATACTCGCTGACGTACGTGTACTTCGAGCAGTACTTGACGGTGATCGACGACGCCTTCAGGCTCATCGGTCTAGCGCTGGCAGCGATCTTCTTGACCACTGCATTGTACTTGGGCAACCTGTTCTACTCGCTGGTGATCTCGCTGCTGGCAACGAATCTCGTGGTCCTTGTGCTGGGTCTGATGCAGCCTCTGGACATCAAGCTCAATGGACTGTCAATCGTGAACCTGATCATCGCAGCAGGTATTGCTGTAGAGTTCTGCGGCCATTACGTTCGATTCTTCGCCAAAGCGAAAGGCACGGGCGACGAACGTGCTCGCGATGCGCTTCGGCAGGTCTCCACATCCGTGCTTTTCGGTATCACCATCACGAAAGTCATCGGCTTGAGCGTGTTGACTCTAGCAGACTCGCGCGTGTTCAAGAAGTACTACTTCCGCATGTACATGATTGTGGTACTCTGTGGTGTCTTGAACGGCATGCTCCTGCTGCCTGTGCTACTAAGCACCATCATCGACGTCAAGAACTTCTTTTTGCACCGGGGGCCGCAGAAGACTGCGCTGAGATCAGCACCTGTTACGCGCGCCGACTGATTCTGATGTCCCTGGTCGTCGACCCTGTGCCCAAGTCGATCTCTGCATATAAGGGCACTCCGAGTGAGTGTTCATGGGCAATGTTAGAAGCAATAGAAAGTGACTGCGTGTGTAGTACCAGTCGTTGAGTCAATAAATGGGGACCTTTCCTCGAGACCACATCGATAACGCAGCAGCTCGAACGACGTTCATCATGTTATCGAAACAGGTTGACGACACGTCCATCCTGTCCCACTTTGCGTGTCTATTCCGCAGTGGTGTCAACGATCGCCAATTCGGGAAACTCGAGTGCACGGGCATCAAAGTCACCCGCTAAGAACGCAGCGGACAGCTCACCGATCGCTTGGAGGGCGCGAAGGTGGTCCATCTTGCCGGTGGACTTCATGAGTCGATTCAGTATTGGCGAGAAGATGGGAACGTCCGAAAAGTTGTTGTGCCGCGTGTCGCGCAACCAGGTCAAGCGGGATAGTGCGTGCGTGCACCCACGCACGTGACGCTCGACGCTCTTGGCATTCGGACGCCAATTCATAAAGTGCTCCGACAGCAGGTGAAGGACAGGGACACGGGCGCCCAGTCCGTCGCACACGTGACGGTCGAGTGGCTCCATCCACGCGTCCAGCAGCACCATCTTTTTCACGCGCTCGTCTTGATGCGCAACACTAAGCGCTGTTGCGGCCCCAAACGAGTGGCCAGCGATGCTCACGTCGTTCAGATTGCACTGCTTGAAGACACTTGTTGCCACTGCGTGTTGCAACTCGATAGCGTCCAGCACGGAGCGCACTTCACAAACACGCTGCTGCAGCTGTCCATTGCGAAAGCGAAAGCCTGCTTGGTCGATGTCGTCGCGTACTTCCAGCGTAATCTCGTGGTAGTACTCCATGCGGCCCGGCTCGGGGCTGCACACGCAGGCCGACCCGTCGCAATGATTGAGCACCACGACCACGTAGCCCTGACTCGCGAGCTCTTGGTTCACGCTCGAGTAGAGCTCCAGCGAGCCCGCAAGTCCGTGGCTGAAGATGACCACGGGCCAGCCAGTTGACAGCGACGGTGGCGCAATGGGCGCGTCTTCGACCGCGCTCAAGTGTGCGTTGCTCATGTTGTGGAAGAGCCACGCGGGCAGGTTCTGCGAGCGCCCGAGCCCCTTCATGACGTGGTGGCCGTGGTGCAAGTACGGGACCAATCGCTTGGCAGCCGACCGATCGCGTTCACGGTCAGCAGTCGCGGCTTTGCCGGTCGTCGAGGGGTACAGCACGCGGCACTCGATGCCGCCGAGACGAGTCGAGCGACAGCCAATGGCCGCGTAGGGTCCATGCAGCGGGGACAAGTGTGGCCAGGGGAAGAGCGCGGACGAGAGCCACGCGAGAGCCACTGACAGGACGACGAGCGCGTCGATGACCGAGAGCAGCAGCGACGGGGCAGCAGCAGCAGTAGCAGCAGCAGGAGGAGCAGGGAAAGGAGCGAGAGACAAAGACGCGACCAATGGCGAGAGGACGCGCAGACTGAGAGACGCGTAGAGAGGCGCGAGTTCCTGTCGCGGCGAGTGCAGCGCCAGCAGTGGAGCGACGAGGCACCAGCCGACGATCGCGAGGGGAGCGCCGGGCGACGAGAAGAGCGCGAGCGCCAGTTGTCCCGTGTACGCGCTGAGCAGACGGCGCTCAATGACGTGGCGCGGCATTTGTAGAATGGGGGGACGACGGCGGCGATGACGGAGACGCGTCGATGTGGGATGGACCTGGACGAGATGTTGCGTGAAAGTGCGTCCGGCGCGCGGATGACAAATGTCGAGTGGGCGGGTCCAAACTGGACCAAAGCAGGACCTGTTTTGTGCCATGCGTGTCAAAAATACGACGCGAGCGCGACAGAGCTGTCACGCGTGACGCGTTTCGATCATTCGGGGCGACGTCATCAAGTGAACGCTTTCGCCCGTGACGTCGTTTTCATCACGCGACGAATCCGTAGATATAAGATACGAGAGGTTTTACCCGGCGTGTGACGTCGCACGGAGATCAGTTTATGCACGGCCATTGCGTTCCACGTAGCGTTCTCTCTCGTTCTCTCTCTCGAACAAGTACTCGCTGCCTACTGTAGACACTGCGTCTGTATCGACTACTTACTCGAGAGCAAGAAAGCGAGCGACCCGCGAGTCCCCATCTGACGCGTCCGTGTCACGATTGCCCTTGGCCGCCTCGCCACCCGCCACGCCACGCTCGTCATTGCCGATTCGACGTCGTCACGCCCCTTTTGACGCGGCCGTCGCTCTCTACCGCAGGCGCGTCACGACTCGCAGCCGACCGCACCCCATGCGCCTGAAGAAGCTCAAGCTGAACGTGAGCCGACGCTCGCGACCGGGCGACGACGACGCAGCGCTCGGCAGCAGTGCCGTCGGTGACAACGGCGACGACGACAACGAGCAGCGCAAGTGGGTGAGCCCCAGTAAGTTGGGGCACGGCGGAGCAGCGCACAGCAGTAGCAGTAGCACTAGCACTAGCAGCAGCAGTAGTAGTAGTAGTCCCACGGATGCTCAGCCCCAGGAGCTCCACACGCACGTGGCCGTGCGCTTTGAGCCACACAGCAGCAGCACTTCCTCCTCGGAGCTCTTTGCACGTGGCGTCGCCGGTGGCGTCGTGAGGCCCAAGACAGCGGCCATGGCAGTAGCACAAACAGGAGCAGATACAGGAGCTGCAGGTGGAGCAGCAGCTGACGTCGACATGGGCGACGACGACGTGGCCGAAGCCGGGCACGCGGCGATGCGCCAGACTATGGTCCGTGCGATCGTCGAGACGCTGCGCGCGCTGAAGCCGCACGCCCCCGAGAAAGTGCTGGCGGGGCTGCCGACACTGGCGCAGCACATGGACACGACGCTGTTCAAGCTCGCTCCGAGCGAAGCCGAGTACTGCGACCGGACGACGCTGCGCTCGCGCATTGCGCAGATTCAGGAGACCAATGCCAAGCGACTGCTGGCACAGCAACAGCAGCGGACGCCCGAGTGCAGCAGCAGCAGTAGCCACGTCGTGCCAGCTCTCAAGCCATTGGCCGAGATGCAGGCGTGCAAGGTCTTCCAGCACCTGCAGTCGTGGCGCCAGCAGCTCGTCCACGCGCACGCGGTGGCGCCATGGGACATCCTGCCCAACGCGACACTGGCCAACGTGGCGCTCTACATGCCGTCGAGCGAGGCGGAGCTCGCCAGGTGCGGAATTGGCACGGACCGCATGACGCGGTTCGGCCCCTCGCTGATGCAGGAGCTACAGCGCCTCAGTTGGTCGCACGTCCGAGCGTCGGATCCGCTGCTCCGGGCCAAGTCAAGCCGCAAGTCGCCAAGCACTGGAAAGCGCAGCGCACCCGAGTCGATGGCTGGTCCGAGCAGCCGCCGTAAGAAGCAAAAGGACGGACCCAGTGCGCGGTCGGCGGCGTCGGTGGCTGCCAGCGAGCACAGTCGTTCGCCCACGGCACAGACGTCGATGCGTTCGACGGTGGAGTCGCCCGCGGCACTGTTGCCAATGGTGTCCATGCGACCCGACGGTGGGCCTCCTCCGACCACGTCTACGGCGACGGCATCGTCCCATTGTCCTTCTTCAGCCGCGTCGTCCCTGCAGCAACAAAGTCCCGCGTGTCCGGCGCTGGAGAACCACATGCATCTGCTGGTCCAAGGAGCAGGTCAGCTGAGCCACCAGCAGCTGAAGCAGCAGCAGCAGGTCAAGAGCCTCGAGGCGTACGAGCAGGAGGTTCAGTCGCTCCGGTGGATGCTGCATCAGTCGCAGCAGCAAACGGCCCAACTCGAGAGGGACGTCCAGCGCTTACGTGCAGAGCTGCACGACGCCACTCGTCGCAAGTGAGTCAGTCAGCGACAACGACAACGACAACGACAACGACAACAACAACAACAACAACAACAACAACAACAGCGACGACAGCGACGACGACGACGACGGCGACAGTAGCAGCAACGCAGTCGGTATTTAACATTAGGTCCGGAGCGTATCCACGCGCGTGTGCCTTCCCCACTCTCTGTCCCGCTCTTCCTCTCCTTCTCTTCCTCTCCTTCTCTTCCTCTCCTTCTCTTCCTCTCTCAACTGGACCGCCCGCAGTCAAAGAGAGCGCTGGGCAGATGCAGACGCTCGTAGAAGGGCAGACGCTGCTCCACGACGGCCGCTATCGCTTCTTGCGACGCATCGGCAGCGGCACTTTTGCCGTCATCATGCGGTACGTACGTACGTACACGACTGCGGTCGAGACCCCGTCCTCATCCTCATCCTCAGCATTCACACCCCTCCCTCTGTACGTCTCTCTCTCTGTGTGCGTCTGCTGTCTCAGTGCTCTGGACGTGCAGCACGACCGCCACGTCGCGATCAAGTGCGTCCGCCAGCAAGCGCTGAAGGCACTGGGCGAGCGCGAGGCGGCAGTGCTGCAGCACATCAACGATCGGGACGCGGACGGAGCGTGTGCCGGTGCGTCGGCCGCGACTGAGTGCCCCCAACGCATGACGCTTACTTGCGCTTACTCGCTCGCTCACTCCCACTCTGTCTCTGTTCCTTGTGCTGCTGCGTTAGTCGTACGCCTGCTGACGACGTTCGAGGAACACGGCCACTACTGTCTCGTGCTGGAGCTCCTGGGGGCTCCAGTGCTCGACGTGGGGCGATGGGGTCCGTGGCGGCAGCCGCGCAGTGGGGCGCGCGCGGCTCCTCCTGCGACGCTGCAGCTCTGGCACCGCCCGCGGCGGTCGTCTGCTGCGCCCGATGATGCACGTGCTGCCCTTTTCTCGCAGTCTCCGGGACAGCAGTGGACGCAATACGCGGACGGAGACGACGCGGCCGCGTGGGCTCCGCCCGTGTCGCTACGGGACGTGCGGCAGATGGCAGTGCATCTCTGCGGGGCGCTCGCGTTCGTCCATGACGAGGGCCTCATCCACGCCGACCTCAAGCCCGAGAACGTCGTGCGGTCGGGTCCCGACGCTCCGCTGCGGCCGTCGACGGCCGCTGTGTCGTGCTCGTCGCCGGTGAAGTTGGTGGACTTTGGCAACTGCTTTGACGCGCACGAGCTCGCGGCGTACGCAGACGTGGACGCGCGTGGGGGCTTTGACGTGCAGACCGTCACGTATCGCGCGCCAGAAGTGGCTGCAGGGCTCTTGCTCTGCGCAGCTATGGACATGTGGTCGCTCGGCTGCCTCCTCGTGGAATGCGTGTCGGGCACACCGCTGTTCACGCTGCCGCCTCTCGAGCCGTCCGTGCAAGAAGAGCGTGCGGACGTGGTGAAGCGCGAGAACACGCACCTCTTGGAGCAGATCGAGCGCGTTGTGACGCAGGGGGTCCCGCTGACTGCAACGTGTGCGCCGTACCGGTCTTCGGCCTGCTACCACGCGGAGCTTGCTGCAGAAAGCAAAAGAGGTCGTGGCCATCGTCCGGAAGCAGCGACGACATTGCAAGCACGGCTAGAAGCCGCGGCGCCAGGGCAGCACGAGTTTCACGATTTTATTTGCAGTCTACTGGACGTGAACCCCGCGATGCGAGTCACGGCCAGGCAGGCCCTCTTCCATCCGTTCCTGCAAGCCTTATTCCCGTTTAAAACTGTCTTTGCTCGATCACGATCATCGGAGACGCATCCAGCTACCACCGGACGTGCAGCCGCCCGTACTATTGCACCCGCATCAGCGATAGCTGACACAAAGCGTAAGGCGTCGCAAGCTTCTCGATCACGCGACCACGAGGTCCAAGAGGCTTCCAACCGAGCGCTGAAGAGTCAGAGGTTGGCCAGGACAGCAACATCGGCTCGCACGAAGGACTTGCGTCAAGTGCTGAAAGTCATACCGCGCCACCGCTTTTCCCATCCGCCACACTGACGTCCGGCGACAGCGCTGGCTGAAGGTCGATATCGTCGTCTGCTTCTGCTCGACACACAGCCAACTCACGGCCTGAGCTTCGAGCAGTCCGACCTTGCGACGGTTGAGGCTGCTCCGCACGCTGGTCCCACGCGGCCTTGAAATGACGTACGCAAACTGCTGATGCCTCAACACCTTCGCGAAGGGCGCGGAAGGCCGCTTCCTTGCAGATTGCTGCAATGTCAGCACCCGTGAATGCACGCGAGCTAGGACCAACAAGCACAGCGAGGGCAGTCGGGTTAGTATCGGGGGTCTGTTCAGGCGGTAACGCTTGGCATAAATGCACTGTACTGTACTCTCTGGACCGCGCAGCAAGTGCGTGGATGTCTACGTCGGAAGCGAGCGGTATTCTTTTCGTGTAGACAGCGAGAATGTCCTGGTTGGCACGAGCATCAAGAAATCGATACCTTAGCCTCACGTGCTATCAATCACTTGCGCTGGTGCTTCGTACCTCGATATCTTCTTGCGTTGGATATCCCAACTCGACAGTCTTGTCAATTCGCCCAGGACGGATCAGGGCAGCGTCTAGCGCATCTTTCCGGTTCGTTGCGGCCACGACGAGGATGTTGCAGCCCTTGGCGGTAGACGACTTCTTCGCATGCGAAGTGGACACAGCGATTCGTTGCGAGCCCACGCCGTCCATCTCATTGAGGAATGTGGAAAGCACGCGGGCGTAGACTCCTCCACCACTGCTGCCTCCATCGTGTTCACCAAACGATCGCTTGTGAGCGATAGCATCAAATTCGTCGAAGAACAAGAGACAAGGTGAGGCAGCACGTGCTCGAGCTGCGAGCAAGCAAGCATTGATTGTAAGCACACAATAAGCCCTCCCCGACAGACGCTCGGGTACACTGCTTCAAAGACGTACCAAAAAGCTGACGCACTGCTTTTTCGCTATCGCCAAAGTACTTGGACAGCAACTCTGAGGACTGCATTCACATGCACAAACCACGAGGTAAGTCTACGACTGGTTGCACCGCTTGTTGACCCACAGCCGGAAAGAAACAATGTGGTCCATCGCACCTTCACGGATACATAGTTGACCTGGGCCTGAGCTGCCAAGGTCTGCACAAGCAGCGTCTTACCGCAACCTGATGGACCTGACAGCAATATTCCGGACGCCTCGGAAATACCCAAACGCTGCAAAGATCAGTAGTGTCAACAAATGACGATTCAATACACGAAGTGAGGAGTTTGTCATACGTACGTTCATCGCTGCAGTCGGATGGAATTTACGAGTGATGAAGTCGTGTAGTTGTTGCCGAACAGCAGCATAGCCAGCAAAACTGAGCTTTCCGTCCACTTGTGCACCAGGCGATGACACGTTTAGCTCTCGAAGCTGAGAAGGTTTGATGTGCTGCTGAGCTCGCAACAAATTGGACCATCCGACGAATGGCGCATTTGAATCGTCGTAAAGCGCCGATGCAGCGTGCGCTTGAGCAGTCGCGTGTCGGCAGATACGCACGAGATCTTTTGCCACATAGCCTCCACTCAACACCGCCAATCGCGACGCCAGGCTTCCTGCATCATCGTCGCCGCCATCATCTGCTTCTCTTCGTAGTGGCAGCCCGATCAAATGACGTCGCAAAATGTCACGGCGGGTTTGCTCGGTGGGAACGACCAAGTCCACGACTTTGCCAAAGCGTCCAGCTCGCTTACCAGCCGCTGGTATATTAACATCAGCACTTGCAGTCGCTCCAACAACAACGAAACGTGCAGAACGCAGACTGAGCTCGTCCATCAATCGGAGCAACGCGCTACCGAGTGACGGCAACGGCGTCTCGGAACCATCAGCGAGCTGACCATCCACTGACTGAAAGAGCACGTCCAAGTCATCGATTAGCACCACGCCGATGCATGACGACGACCCGCGTCCAATCTCGACGCCAGCGAGTGATCGCAAACCAGGGAAGCGCTGCTTTAGCTCGTGGACCAAGTATTCATACGCTGTTGGACACGCTGAGCTTTCAGCCGCCATGAGCAACGACATACCGTCGGTCCGCCAAGCAGCAATCTTCGCGTGAACAAGCTCTCGCTGCAGAGCCACTAGCGCGAGCGATTTTCCCACACCATGTACACCCGAAACCAGCAACCCGTGGGAGCCGATATGGTCCATCGCCACGTCAGCGTCAAGTCTCTTCTCCTCGTATTTCAGCACGAGAGCAAGATGAAACAGCACGTCTTGCACAAACGCAGTGCACCCTGCAAAGCCAGTCTGCCAGAGCCGACTGCTGAGCGCACTCTCGTAAGATGGAGCTGCCGCTGTAGCTGAATGCTCTTGCTGCATACAAAGTGCCGCGACCTTCTCCGTCACTTCAGCTGTAGCCTGATCGCCAGCCGTCACTTCGTCTGTCGACGAAGGAACGTGTGTCGCACTCCGTCCCCATTTCACAACCAAGTGCAGCTTTCCATCATCGTCTCGATTCTTCTCGATCGCGTCGATCCGAAAGACGTACGTGTCCCCCATGAGCTTCACCAAGACAAGTTGTCCTGCCTGAGGAGCTCGAAGGACTCGGGCAGCCAGCAGCTGACGACGCGTGGCTCTGTCCAGATCAATCTGTCGCTGACAAACGCTCTTGGCCAGCAAAAGTATACTGCAAGATCCGCCACAATCATCGTCCAGTCCAAAGCTGTCGGTTACTGAGACTGCACGGGGCGGGCATCGGGTCTGGAGACGCAGCGACAGTCGCCACGAAGCACCTGCGTCCACGTCTGCGTCCACTCGGACTCGCTCTAGCGTCACGTGTGCGTCCTCCAGCTGTCCAGCGACGTGAAAGACCCACAGGTGCAGCTGGACGCGTCCCCGACGCAGTACAGCACTGGCACTGCTCGAAGAATCCGCAGGGGGGCGACGGCCGATCACACTCTCGAGGACGAGCACCGAGTGCGACGCGGCAAAGCGCACGCGCAGGAGATCCAGCGGGTGAATGGCACGAAGCGCTGCGTCGTCGGGCGAGAGCAGCACCTGGTGCGGCTGCAAGAGCGCACTGCGGGTGTCGCCGCTGGACGCCCGCGCGTGCCAATCCATGACGGACGTCGAGCAGCAGGTGGGAGTGGCTGGTGGCGCGTGGAAAGGATGACGGCGTGTCGAGTGGGGGACGCGTAATCCGACAGACGAGCACTCTCCCCCTTGTTGTGGCATGTTCTTGGACCGCTCCAGGCACCGGCAAAGAACGTGCTCCGAAGTCAGAGGGAAAGAGAGAGAACGGTACCAAGTGGTTCTCGAGTTCATGGAGCTGCACTTTATTGACGGTGAAAGTCCACGGAAACCGACGAGGACACAAGAGCAGTGCACATGTAAGAAAGGCAGCGGCGGACGTGGACTTGGACTGTCGTTGACGAGCGTAGGAAGTATAGCTACAGGGGCCTTGTCACGTCATGCGAAGCGTATTGGGCGCACATGTAGGCAGGCGTCGAGCGGGGTGACTGTTGTGATGGGGTCAAGACCCACATGACCACTGACGTTCTGGAGGTTCCGGGTGCTACCATGCAACCCATTAGCATTGACATACCTACATTCGCTTGCTTTACGCTCTCTTGTCGCTGCGAAAGCGCAAGGAAAGCCGTCGATGCTGCACAAAGCCGTTTCACACACACACAGATAACGTCCAGCTGCAGAATTCGTGCGGCTGCACATCTGTTTGAATGATACGCTCGCGATGGACCTTGCGCTCAATCGGGAGACAAGGAGATCTACTCAGGCTGTTCCAATATACCACGCTTCGCACATGCTGCAACACTACCTGCACCAACGGATCACGACTTGGAAGCGCAAACTGAATCGAAACAACGTCTGGTCTCGAAGACAAGCGTGGCAAACATCGTGGATCGAGGCTATTCTTTTTCTGTAGGATTCTTCTGTCTACCGACCGGAAGACGTGATGATTCTACGTTGACTCTGCACGACACCTGAGGATCGCACGGTGTAAGTAGCTGCTGCAGTGGTGCGCTGGTACCCGACCGGACTGACCTTTCGTTGCCGACACCGGCCAATGTAGAGGTAAACGGTGGTGTCAAGTACGTCCATTATTATGATAACTAACGACTGATAAGTGTGACAAGAAGTACGGCCCGGGTATCGGGTCGACAACTAAAGGGCTCCGTAGAGCCAGGGGCGACGGCAACGAGGTCAGAGACCCTCCTACCGAAGCCAACTACGAGTCAATCATGACCGCTGGCGCGACCAAGTAGACTGGGGACATGCGTACCGCCGGAGCGGCAGCACGTACAACGCGGGTATGCTGCCATATAAGGCAACAAACCCCTTTAGGACCGCTTGCGCGGCCCCCGACGTGGAGTGCGAACACCGAAGTGACTGCGTGGCGTGGAGAACGCCAACCCGCCATATGTCTCTCCGAGGAGCTCAACCATCTGCGATGGTGGCCCCCTTCAGCCGCTTGCGCGGCCCCCGACGTGGAGTGCGATCACCGAAGTGACTGCGTGGCGTGGAGAACGCCAACCCGCCGTCTATCTCTCCGAGGAGCTCAACCATCTGCGATGGTGGCCCCCTTCAGCCGCTTGCGCGGCCCCTTGACGTGGAGTGTGCGCTCGCCGCAGCGGCGACACGTGGCGCGGGGTACGCCTCCAGTCCGTAAAACACCCCTGCTAGGGCCGCTTGCGCGACCCGTCGGTCTCCTACGCCCACACCCGCGACTGCGAGTGCAGCGTGCCCGCGTCAGATCTTCGACCACGTCGGCTCCCCAAGGGGAGGATTCCCTCCGACGTGACTGCCCCGAAGGGAAAAAGACTGGCTTGAGCTGAACCGTGAAAATTTGGGAATGTAGAGGTAAATGGAACATCGCGAGCTTTCTCGATCGCGCGGTCGACAGTTAGAGAACGGAGTCTCTCACGTACGTCTACAGGTTCTTGGTCTGTGTAAGCCTATCTTGCATGACTATTCGATCTGCATGCTCTATTTTGCTCGCTTTGCTAACCCTACGGTCGCGTGCCTCGTTTGGCCGATACGTGTTGACTTGCTACTGCTTGTCCAGTGGTCCCACCACATTCTGTCGAATAGGCGGCGGTGGTTGTAAGCGTCACGGAATGATCGGATGCATCATCTACTGCAGAGAGCACAACGCACCAGGCAGAACCGTTTGTGGCAGACGAAGAACTGAAGGTCCTTATCGGCAACAGCAAACGACTGCGCTCGTTTGTGAGAACGGCAAGGCCTGCGGCCGGACCCTAGAGAGTCGATGCTAGTGTGGGTCTTTTGATCCCGTTCACTAGCGCAGCTCGATCGGGGTCGTTCAAGACTATGAATGCGTCAAGAACAAAGTCGGCCACGCACTATCCTTCGATCGTGCATCGGTCAACCGTATATTGGCAACGACTACGCCGCTAGACGGCGCACAGCTTGACTGCGCGGCGACGGATGTAAGTGGACGCAAGCTGAGTCGATCAGGCGATAGCGCCTCGTCGTAGCCCTCCAGCTCGCATCGGACGATCATCTGCTTGCAGTGCTTGTTGCAAGAGGTGGATGCACATCGATTGTAGCACGCTCGAAACCCATTCCAGCACAAACGATCAACGCTATGCAGCCTGAAAGGTGTCGAATTCATACTCTGTCAAGCGTCAACCGAAAACAAAGAGGAAGGTGACAATGTCAGTGGAACGAGTCGCTCGTGTCGTGTCGGTGCGCGCGGTGCGTGTGTGTGTGTCTCGCACACTGTGTGTACACATTGCGTGTGCACAAAGGCGAATCATGCGCTGGTGTTGCCGTCTTTACATCAAGCATTTAGCTTCAATGTATCATAAAAAAGGCTAACGAATGTCTCAATACACACGTACTTGCGCTCTGTGCCGGACAACCGGTCTCCTTCCCTGTGCGGGAAGTTGGTCGTTCCTCTCCGGCGCAGGATCTCGAACGGCTCCTAGCACCCTCCCCTGAACAAGTGCTGTCGATTCGGGCCAGATTGGACGCGCATCACGCTCGTATGTCTGTCGGGGCGAGCAGTCAGTGGGACGGTGACGAATGGTTAATTTCATACCATCAAACGTTTCCTGACCATCCCGCTGTTGCTGATCACCGGATGGATACATTAGCCGCTTTCTGGGGCCGCTTTCACTGGGATGGCAATCCTTGGATTCAAGGGCCAGACGGCAAGCCCCTAGAGCGGGCCAAATATGCCCGGATACCTCCATGTTCACTGCGCAGTCTGTGCATTCGGCGACTGGGGTCACATGAATTTCAATTTACGTTCCCGTCTCTCGGCGGTACTTCGTCTCGGCATATGCATTGTAAATTACAACGTTGGGCGACTTCGATCCTGCTCTCGTCACCCCACCTTGCTGTCGGTGCGGGACCGGTAGAGCCCGGGCTCGTCTTACGTCATCCACCGCCGTTTCGGCGCGCTTATAAATGGTCCCGGGTGCGAGCTGATTTAATTGTCGGGTCCTGTCGGGACCCTGTCGAGTCCGCGAACTCGGCGATTCGCCTCCGCCAAGATGTCAATGGAATCCATTGGTCGATTGACGGGAATTTACCAGAATTACGGGGGTCGCCTCAGCAAGTGTCTAACTACTGGGAGCATTCGTACCATCGTACCTTGGTGTTTCATGCCCACCCGGAGCTTCACCGTTTCCCTTGGAGTGTGCCAGAGACGGTGGCCAATGTAGATGTGTGGACAACGCTTATGAAGCAAGCGTTTCACGTTCATAAACGCCTTCTGCACCCTGGCCTCCAGTCCTGGTTGAAGGCCTATGACGCGGAGGCGGTATCGAATAGTTGGCAGTCAGCTGCATCAAATCAAACGCCTTCCCAAGTTTGGAAACACGCAAACGGGCTAACGGAGTATCAAGTCTGGACATGCTATCGTATCGCGACAAAGCAGCTAAATCTATACCATGCCGGTCGCACGCTGGACAACAGTTGTCGTACGGTGCTGCACTGCCGGGGACGCAAAGAGACAGCGGCGCACATTTTCTGGGAGTGCCCAATCGCGCGAGCGTGTTGGTGTCACTTGATAGGACACTGGACCGGTGGGGGTGCGACGAACGCAGTTCTTTCCACCTTCTTTCAGCACTGCGCCAATCGCAAAGCCCCGCCCATTCCACGTCAGCTGAGTTTGCGGTTGCAAAGCCGTTTTCAAGATGACTCTGACGCCGCAGCAACAGAATTCGAACGGATCTGGTTCATATTAAGCTCCATCTGCCAAGAACATTTGTGGACCGAGCGGAACTCGGCGGTCTTTAGAGGAGCCGTGACTACTCCATCCGCAAGTGTCCAAATGTACTGGACACGCGGTGTTCGCCAGCTACGGGCAATTGCAATACGCGAGCATCGAGCCGCGGCTACGGCCGTACGAGGGGCCCGACTTCATGCCTGTCTTGAACTACTGATTCAAGAGCCCCGTGGACACCCGCCCTACGCGGGTGTCAGCCACGATCTGCTGCCGCGACCGGCGCTCATATCCTGGCTCAGGATTTTTCAGACCTCTTGTCCACATTAAATATGTCAATAGATGATCATGAAACTCCTCCTCCACATTCCTCGTTTCGCAGAATGTATGTACTGGCCCCCCCCGTCCTATCGCCGGATCGCGGCCGCGCGGCTGCCGACCCTCTTCAAGTTTGACGCGATGTTCCTTCTATAGCAGACGGAACGGCGAGTTCACTGGATTCGGCTATCACAACCCACCCAATCCTGATTTTTTATGCGGGGGAGGTGACAGCTATTCACGCGATGGCGTACTCTTTGTTTACTTCCCGTTTGTATTGGCCACCAACCGTGTCGCTAGATCCCAACTTCGCGTCTAGTCCGCTCCGCCCCGCACGTTGTCAACAGCAGTGCCATTCTCAATTTCGCCGCACTCGGAACATCCAGCCAGGTCCATCCGGAAACACCGCATCACGAATGAAGGTCAATGGCAATCTGCTCGTCTTCGTCGCCACCTTCGCTAGCGTTCGAGTACTCCCATCCGTAGGGCTAACTTGTTATGAGGTTAATTTTTGTTCGGCTGTGAACGACGTATGGATTCGCAACTTTGATGCAGTGTGCGCTAAAATAGGTGATCCCACCTGTGGGTG